AGTCAGTTTATTGTGTTTTAACAGTAATAAAAAATAAATTAGTCATACACAAAAATAATTGCCATTTTTTTTTGCTGAAGAAAAAACAGATGTTATTTATTCATGTGATTCATTTTCTACCCTCTACCTCTTTGAACAAGAATTCAGTGGTACCAGGGGGACAGAAACCCGATGGAAGATCTCACTGGTTCCTTAGGCCTGGTTGTGCAGAAGATAGGATCTCCCGCAACCCCCTGGCCCAGCCCCCTGCACCGCACCGCCAGTGACATTCCCTGCCTTGCTGAAGGCTTCCTCAGCCTTGCTGGAACCCAACCTCTGGACAGCTTCCTTCCACCGGTTCTAGCAAAAGAGACAAGACACAGAGAAGGGAAGACAAAGATGCTGCCACTTTTTCTCTAAGTGTCCGGGGACAAGGAGAGGGCAGATTGGATGAGCAAACCCGACGTTTGACAGGGAATGGTGGCGGTCCAGGCTGACCTGATTCAGGCACAATGCCAGCGTGAGAGTCATAAAATGAGGCCCAGAGTTAACTGATACTTGATTCTCAAACCCAGGGAGCTTGACTCATTGTCCGCTGAATCATAGGCGTGGGTGTGGAAGAAGGCATTGGATAGCAATTTGCTAGGAAGCGGGTTAGAACAAATGATCAAATGATTTCACACAAACGTGAATCACATATGTAAATAAATACCTATTAGGTCCCTTTACAATGAGCATATTCTAAATAATAGAACTATTTTGGTGAAGTGACTCATTCTGCAGATAGAGTTTGAATACACATTTCCTATAAACATCTTGTATTTACAAAGAACAAAATAATAAGTTATAACAAAGTATATCCTTCTGTCAGACTGATGGTGGAGCCTGGGGGCAAGGCAGGTGGGAACTCATGTAACGAATGGCTTCCTTCTCATGTGTGTGTGTGTGTGTGTGTGTGTTGTTTATGGGTGTGGCTACAGTGTGTTTTGTGTGTGTATATGCTATGAGCATGTGTACTGCGTAAATGTGTGTGCTTGTGAACACGAGATTGTGTGCTTGAGCATGTACAAGAATATGTGTCTGTGTATGTGTGTGCACGTGTGTGAATGTGAGCATGTGTGCATGAGAGTGTGTGAACACGTGTGAATCTGAGTGTAGGTGAGAATGTGCACATATTTGAATACGAGCGTGTGTGCATGTGAGAGTGTGCACATGTGTGAATATGTGTGTGCACGTGTGAACGTGTGTGTGTGAACATGTATGAATATGAGCATGCTTGTGCATGTGTGTGCACATGTGAATATGAGCATGTGCATGCATGTGTGTGAATATGTGAGCATGTGTGCATGCATGTGAGTGTGTGAGCCAGGCAACGGAGGATGCTGACAAAACCGGCTGCATGTTTGCAGCCTCGGTGGTCATTTTCCCACCACACGATGGGCGGGGAGGGGTCACTCAGAGATCAGAGATGGTTCCGGGTGGAGAGAATTGCTCTGCTCCAGGAAAGCGAGGTGCGTTGGGAAACAGATGGCAATTAGAAGGCACTGGCTTCGTCGAAAGTGCTCCCATCCCAGCTAGTCGGTGGCTCTGGGCAGGTGACTGGCCGTGAGCCCCGTCCTGCAGCGTCTCTGACTATGGCCACGCCTCCTCTGCAGAGGCGGCCAATGACGGGTCAGCGCGCAGAGACCACAGCGCCCTCTGCCGGCAAGGCGCTGGCGCACAGGGCGCGCCTGGAGCAGGAGCCGGCACCAGCCTCCTTTCCACCTCCTGCTCCCAGAATAGCTCGCACAGTGCCCACTTCTCTGCCTTCGCAGGGTCTCACGAGGAGCTTTCCGCTGTTGCAAGCGGTCGGCGGCCCTTGCGGGATTGGGTATTTTCACTCGAAAGTTATAAAGCATCAATATTCTCCTTTCTGACCATCTATAGTGATACACGTGATAGCCTTTCAGTAACAGTATTGCAAGCCACAGTGCCTAAAAGGAAAAAGAGGAGGAAGAGGAGGAAGAAGAGGAGGAGGAGGAGGAGGAGGAGGAGGAGGAGGAGGAGGAGGAGGAGGAGGAAGAGGAGGAAGAAAAGGAGGAGGAGGAGGAGAGGAAGAAGAGGAGGAAAAGGAAGAAGAACAAGAAGAAGAAGAAGAAGAGGAGGAGGAGGAGGAAGAAGAGGAGGAGGAGGAGGAGGAGGAAGAAGAGGAGGAGGTGGAGGAGGAGGAAGAGGAGGAGGAAGAAGAAGAGGAGGAGGAGAGGAAGAAGAGGAGGAAGAAGAGGAGGAGGAGGAGAGGAAGAAGAGGAGGAAAAGGAAGATGAACAAGAAGAAGAGGAGGAGGAGGTGGAGGAGGAGGAAGAGGAGGAAGAAAAGGAGGAGGAGGAGGAGGAGGAGAGGAAGAAGAGGAGGAAAAGGAAGAAGAACAAGAAGAAGAAGAAGAGGAGGAGGAGGAGAAGGAGGAGGAGGAGAAGGAGGAGGAGGAGGAGGAGGAGGAGGAGGAGGAGGAGGAGGAAGAGAGGAGGACAGGGAAGAGGAACTTGCCACAGAGGCAGGCTGGGAGGTGAGAGGGAATCTGGGGACATTGGTGGAGGGTAGAAGGCACTGGTGAGGGTATTGGTGTTGGAACAGCATAGGCCTGAAACTTCAATATAGGCCCAGAACTCAATCATACATATCTTTGTAACTTTGTAGTTCATGGCAATTCAATAAGAATTAAAAAAGAAGAAAAAAAGAGGGCTGACGTATTCAGGATAAGTGTCTGCCATTACTCTAGGAAACAGAGGATGAACAAAATTGCAAGACCACTGGACCAGACAAGCCAGGAAAAGTGGGGACAGGTGACAATTCTGAGTGCCAGTGGCTCTGAGGACAGGCCTGTCATCTCCGCTCCCTGCTTGCCTGCCTGCAGCACCAAGCTCACATCTGTGGAGTGGACGGTCCCTCTGGCAGCCAGCTGACCAGCTTACATTCAGTGCCCTATTCCTTAAACGCTTCTTTTTTCTCTGGGAAGAAAAGCAAGCCGGCGAGGAGCTGAAAAGGACAGACCCCATGCGATGCCCTTGGTATAGACGAAGGACATGAATTGGCACCATTATACATGAAAGTAAAAAAAGCAAACTTTCTGAGGGGCTTGATTTTGTGATGAAAAGTTACTAAAAACTATCATTCAAGTGAATAAAGCAAGTCTGCATTATTGCTGGTAAGGAAACAATGGGGAGGATGGAGGAGACAGCAGATAATGGAAGGGAGTGGATACAAAGAGAGGGCAGAGAGTGTGCCCCAAAGGTGGGTGTCCCTTATGTTCCGTCCCCCAGAATGCCTGCCCTGGAACTACAGAAGGACCCTGCAGATGTGTTATCAGTGACGGCACTTCCACACAGACACAGGGAAGAGGAGTAATTGCTAAAACTCCTGTTCTTGTAGTGCACAAGCTTTCCAGAGATTAGTAATCCCAGGAACAGCTCAGCTATTTGTTGGAAGGGAAAAAGAGACCCTGAATGTAGATATTTCTGCCCACCAGAAGATAAGAATTTACTCCCAGGAAATTCTACAAGGGTCAGGATGGCCATTCACCTGGGTGGCCCATTGTTCTTTGAGAGAAAGGTAGGGTTAATGCTGGGAACCACAGGACACTGTCAGAGGTAGGACACAACCCTGCCCTACCAATCAGGGGTTGGAAGGACCCAGAATTGCTCCTCGCAGAGAAAGACCCTGGGTCGCTCTAAGGGTGAGCCCACAGGCAGGATGACCCACAGGGCAGCAGGAAGTGGAAATGCTTTCTCTGACCCCAGGTTGCAGTCAGCCTGGTCTCTTCTCTGTCCTTCAGTACATAATGAAATCTCTTCCGAGTCTCCTCTGTGGCTCTGGGAGAAGCCACATGCAGGAATCGCTCACGTTTGTGACCAAAAAGAGGAGAAAGAATGGGGTGAAAGGAAGAGGGTTGCTCGGAGAGCACATCCTGGGCTGGGCTGCATAGCTTGGGGAGGGGGGTGGTGGCTGGCTCATCTGTACCAGTTGCTCATCTGCACCAGTCGTGAGAGATGGGGTTGCCTTAGGGAAGTGGTGTCTGGTGCTTTCTAGAAAACCCCAGAGAAAGAACAAAGAACTTCCAAAAGCCCAGCATGGAGCAGAGGGTGGTGACCACAGCCAGCAGCTTTGTCCCTGTGCACACAGATTGTTAGCTGGAAATCACCCAGCGACACTTTCCTTGGGGGTTTCTCCCCTGCCCGAACAGGAGCCTGTCCTGTTAGAGTTAAGGGCAGGGAAGTAACCCCCTTCAACCCCCGTTGCAAGGATCACGCAGGTCTTGGTGCTGAGCCCCAAGGGATATCCTGGGCAGTGAGGTATTCGGGAGGCGAGTATACTCACTCAGTGACAGAGGAAACCATCCCACGGGGCGGAAAAACCCAAGGGAGATTCGCAAATAAATTCTGAAGTTGTCCTGGGTTGGACTTTCCACTGGTTGAGGCGGGCAAACAGTCTGGTAGAGGGAGGCTGGGTGGCGCTCACAGAGCAGCGGTGCTGGGCCAGCTGGATTGACGCTTCCATGGCCAAGGGACCTTGGTGCAGAGCTCACGGGGATCAGGGGTGTCCATGTCCCAGGAGAATGGAAACTGTCACCTGCGACTGGGACAGTTCCTCTAAGGGTCTCTGGCTGGGGGCGGGGGCCTTGTTGCACAGGAGCAGACTTGGAAATAACTGAGTGGGTTGGCAAATCCTGTCCAGGCACTCACGGCGGGGGCTTAATACTGCCACTGAAGGTGGGGTTTCAGTTGCCTTGCAAGTGAAACGGAGATTTTCGTTTCCTGCCTCCAGACCAGGGTGTCGGAGGTCAAATGCGTGGGCCTCAGGAACGCACCCACAAACCCTGGACGCTCTGTGGGGTACGGGGGTCCTGCGTCTGGCAAACGAGAGGAAGCCCTGGCTGGCTGGGGGGACAGCAGGGTGCAGGCGCTGGGCCGGACTCCGGGGCTCTGCACAGCGGCGTGAGGGTCGGCAGTCCCAGAGAGGGGCCAGGCCCAGGAGGGGACCCGGGGTCCACGGTGACGCAGGCGGCGGGGTTATCTGCGGCCCAGGAACCCGGGGCGCCGGCCGGCCCGCGTGCAGGAGGCGCAACACGCCGTCTGGTAGTAGCTGTACACGCACAGGCGCGCCTGCACCACGACGTTGCAGTTGTAGTAGCGGTCCCTGCAGTTCTCGTCTGCGGAGACAAGGGGAGCCTGAGCTGGCCAGGCCAGGGAACTGTTCCTGCGCCTGAGCTCGGCCCTCCCTCCCTCCCTCTTTCCTTCCTTCCTGCTTGCCTGCCTGCCTTCCTTCCTTCCTTCCTTCCTTCCTTCCTTCCTTCCTTCCTTCCTTCCTTCCTTCTTTCTCCTTCCTTCCTTCCTTCCTTCCTTCCTTCCTTCCTTCCTTCCTTCCTTCCTTCCTTCTCCTTCCTTCCTTCCTTCCTTCCTTCCTTCCTTCCTTCCTTCCTTCCTTCCTTCCCTCCTTCCTTTTTTACCACCTCCCTTCCATTCTTCCTTCCCTTCCTTCCTTCCTTCCTTCCTTCCTTCCTTCCTTCCTTCCTTCCTTCCTTCCTTCCTTCCTCCTTCCTTCCCTCCTTCCTTCCCTCCTTCCTTCCTTCCTTCCTTCCTTCCCTTTTTACCACCTCCCTTCCATCCTTCCTTCCTTTCCTTCCTTCCTTCTTCCTTTCCTTTCCTCTCTCCCTTCCTCCCTTCCTCCCTCCTTGCCTCCCTTTTTCCCATCCCTTTCTTCCTTCACTCCCTTCCCACCTTCCTTCCCTTATTTATTTGTTTTGGGACCACACCTGCCCATGCTCAGAGCTTACTCCTGACTCTGAGCTCAGGGATCTCCCCTGGTGGGCTTGGGGGACCATATGGGGTGCTAGAGATTGAACCTGGGTTGGCCGAATGCAAGGCAAATGCCCTACCTGCTGTACTAGCGACCCAACCCCCTTTATCTCTTTTTTTATAGGGGTCGCTCCCAGCCACGTTGAGCCTAGTGTTTTGGCCTTGACTATTTGGAGTTCAGGACAGGTGGCTTGGTACTTGGGGACCAGCAGGGTCATACCTAAAAGTCCTGGGAAGCAGGGCAGTCCCAGAGCTCCAGTGGAGCCCTTGCACATGCTAGGTATGCACCTGACGACTTGAGCGCCCTCCTTCTTGCCCAGGTGCTGGTACACACTCTTTTATTTGTATTTTGGGTCTCATCCAGTCAGTCGTGCTCAGGGCTTACTCCTGGCTCTGTGCTGGCAAGGCTCAGGGGACCATATGGGGTGCAGGGGATCAAACCTGGGTGAGTCGTGTATAAGACAGATGCCCTCCCCACTGTACTATAACTCTGGCCCTTCAGAAAACCACCACCATTTTATTCCATTCACATTTACAGCCCTCCCGTTGATCGTCAATTTGCTCGAGCGGGCCCAGTAACGTCTCCATTGGAGACTTTGTTGTTACTGTGTCTGGCATATCCAATACTCTCGGTAGCTTGCCGGGCTCTCCGAGAGGGGCGGAGGATCGAACTCGGGTCGGCCATGTTGGCCGCGTGTAAGGCGAACGCCCTACCCGCTGTGCTATTGCTCCAGCAATCTTTTGGAGGGTGGTTTGGGTCGCCTTCTAGGACACAGGCACTATTCTGATGCATCATAGGCAAAGTGCTGTCCCCTGAGTAACAGACACCTTGACTCCATCCCAGACAGAGACCAGGCGGGGCAGCATTTTCATACCAGAGGTCTCCAGAGTGCTAGATAAGTCATTTTTTTTCTTTTGGATCAAATCCAGGACCTCACAGAAGGCAAGGCATGCATTCTACGTCCGAGTCCCATCCCTGGCTCCGGAAAGACAGCTCCCTCCTTGCCCCCCATCAAGATGGGACTTTCTCCTTACCAACTTCCGGAACACACTCCTGAGTGTTACAGGATTCCCGCTCTTCTGGTTTCAGCGGAGGGTCACAGAGACTGCTCAGAGTCATGTCATCAGCCAGACAGCGCACCTCCCGTACCCGGAAGCCGCCCTGGCAGCTCTTGGAACACTGCGTGGGACACAGAGAAAGGGTTGGTGGTAGGTCAGTACACTGTACAGGGAAGGCACTGGACAGGAGAGGCACTGAGCAATTTTTTTCTCTCCCCCCAGCCCCCACTTTATTTAAATACCGTGGTTTACAAAATTGTTCATGAAGATTTGTTACAGGTGCTCAGCATTCTAACACCAAGCCCACCACCACCGCCCTCTTCCCTACACCAATGTCTCCATTTTCCCAATTATCCATCATGCTTGCCCTCAGAGCAGGCCCATGATTGCTTGTTACTAGTACATGGCTAGCAGAGCGATCAAAAATTATTTCCTTAGAAGAAAATTTGTGAAAATTGTTGTATCTCATCATGGTGACAGAAAGTCCTTTTCTGGGGGCTGCCTAAGTTAAGCCTTCTGTGTTAATGTTTCTGTTCGTTGGGATTGGCTGACCTCTATGTTACATCCCACCCAATCTGATGTGCTTCTACTGGGATGTCAATGTTGGAGAGTTTGGGTTTGTTGCTCCCGCGTGCTCTGACACTGGATAATTTTAAGCATCTCTTGGAGGAGGCAGAAAATGAAACTGGTACTTTTAATTTGAATTTTTTTGTGTGTGTGATTTTGATGTTGGTTGTTGTGGCAAAGGGTACTGTCATCTTCCAAGAACTGTACCAAGATAATAATACAAGATAGCTCTCATGTATCCCTCAAGCAGCACATGGCCAATCAACCCCATCTCTCTCCACCACATCCATTCCTCTTATTATTCTGAAGCAAATCTAGATGTCATGTCACACTTTAGTTTGTAGGACACAAACACAAGGATTAAAAAATTAAACTAGGCCAGGGACATTGGTACACAGAGTCCATTTGGTAAAGGATAAAGATGGGTGGAGATGGTCCACAATCATGGCTGAGTCTCCAGTGGCCAATTCAAAGAGAGATGGAATTTCTCGAGTCCAGTCTCCCAACCCATGATCTACAGTAGGTTAACATGGGCGCACAACCACGCCATGTACTGGGACCCATAGAAGCTTCTTTGGTAGATTTTTTCCAGATTTTTGGGGTTTTTTTTGGCCATATGCAGTGATGTTCAGGGATTCATCCTGGCTCTGTGCTCAGGGATCATTCCTGGTGGGGCTCAAGGGAACACATGGGGTATTAGGTAATGAACCCTAGTCAGGCTGCATTAACGACAAGAGCCCTCCCCAATGAATGATGGCTCCGGTCCCCAGTGGGTTCTGTAACAAGAACATTGCCTGGACATACTCTCAACAGCACCCTCGAGCCTTGCAACCCCTCAGTCCTCTGCAGCTATGTTCTCAAAAGGTTTGTTGAAATATAACCTCGTTGGTTATAGCGGACCTGTTCCTAACTCCAAAATAAGGCTCACACTAGTTCTCAGATGCTTTGAGATCAGAGTTACTGCATCTGGCCTTGATGGCCTAAGAGATTAATCTCACTCCAGCCTGGGGTCCCCTCCTATAAGTAGGCTGAGTCTGAGACCCCCCCCAACAGTGATCAAGTTGAAGGGGATGGTAAGGAACCCAGCAAGGGCCGAGCCCTGTGAATACCAGAGTTGGTGACCAGACTCTGGAGATGCCCCCGGCCCCCACTTACCATGCTCCACTCTGTGTGAAACCATTTGGCCCCGCAAGGCTTGAGGTGACAGGACTGCTGGCTGGGGGGCCTCTCCAGGAAGGAACAGTCGTGGGGGTCAAGCACTTGGAAGGCATCTGCATTCTTCCTAACGCAGACCACCTCCCGCTGCTGGCTCCCAACCCCACACTCCACGGAGCACTGGAGAGAGAAGCAGGGACGCAGAGTCACGTGAGGGAGAGGGCAGCACCGTGGGCTTGGGTGGGGATGGACGGACGGGAGGGAGAGCCTGCCGGATGCCAGGAGAACGTTTCTGGAGAAGACGTTACACAGGGCCCCTCATGTTCCTAACTCGGTTCTGATGGAAGCAGTCCTGGCTGGAGGGAGCTGGCGTCCAGGCGCCCCCCTCCACCCAGCCCACAGACATCCCGGCTGGTCAGCCGGGTGGCGTCTGTCCAGTGGGCCCCCCACACCCCTCATCTAAGACATGAGTCTGGTTCATCTGCTGGGGGCAGTGGGATAGCGCTCCTCTCTGGCCTATACATTTGTGGGGGAAGATCCCAGACTTGAGACAATGTCCCCGAAGGTCAAAGCTTCCCTCCCCATGGGGCAGCTGGCAGGATGCCCTGAACATAGGGTCACTCCCCTTGCTACCTAACTTGGTGCTGAAGAGTGGTTGTGCCCACTGGGAACTGTGAATTAAATGCATTGGCACATTTTCTTTAAGGAAATATGGAGCCAATAACTAACTTCTTGTAAATTACTCTACATAGCTATCTCTTGCTTTGGAAAATGTGTTCTGTTCATGTCTACTTCTGGTACTTTTTTGTGTGTGTGTGTCATGCCCGGCAATGCACAGGGGTTATTCCTGGCTCTGCACTCAGGAATTACTCCTGGCAGTGCTCAGGGGACCATATGGGATGCTGGGAATTGAACTCAGGTCGGCTGCATGCAAGGCAAACGCCCTACCCGCTGTGCTATTGTTCCAGCCCCTACTTCTGGTACTTTTAATTTGAATTTTTTTTGTGTGTGTGATTTTGATGTTGGTTGTTGTGTCGTGGCTGGGGCAGGGTATTTGGTACAGGGAATTGAACTCAGGGCCTCATACTAGTGAGGCAAGTGCTTGACCACTGAGCTACCCTCTCTGAATATTTTTTATATTTTGGTGTTTGGGCCACACCCAGTGATACTCAAGGGATCTCCTGGCTCTGCATCCAGGAATTGCTTCTGGTGGTGCTCAGGGGACCATATGGGATGTGGGATATGGACCTGGGTTGGCCATATGTAAGGCAGGCGCCCTATGTGCTGTACTATCACTCCAATCCTTCTCTTAATACTTTTCGATTAAAATAAAAGTTTAAAGAGTTAGAGAGATCGTATTAGAGGTCAGGCTCTTGCTTTGCATGTGACCCATGCTGGCTTGGTCCCTGAGAATCACCTGGCCGAGTGCCTAGAGACCCCTAAACAGCACTTGCCAGTCAGGAATCTTGCTGCTGAGAAAGCCATTCATTTTGTTTGATTCTGTTAATGATCCCCTTGTAATGACTCTCCAGGACTCAGGAGACTGGGCTCAGGCTAACGCACATTTTGATGGGTTTCAATGTTTATTTTCAGATTGCTTTCCAAATTTCTGCTTCTGTCCTCTTCTGCCAGCTGCCTTGAAAAGCCCCATCAGATCAATGCCAAGGACAAGGCAGCTCAACCCCCACCCCACTGTCCGGATCTGCTTTAAAAGCCACTTAGAATAAATGAAATCATTGAGACGAGGCAGAGGTCTTGACAATGTATGAATCATGAACCTAAGTCAGAAAGAGCGCGGAGAAACAGCAGCTCTGGAGTCAGGGGCTAATGGAACAAGAACAGATCCCAGGGGACCAGGCTGGGTGCCACCAGTTCAGTGATTCCATTAAAGTGTCCTGGGTTAGCTGTTCTCATAATGAACAGCCTTGACCGTCTCTGTTCTGCTTATTTCCCCTCCTAGTATAACTAAGGCCAAACTGACAGACAATATTGTAATCTGATTAAGCGCTCCCACGATGGCCTGGTCCATGTCCTCATGGTGAATGCACAAACTCTCTGTCACCTCCCACATTTACTGTGTATGGGAGAACAGGGCAGGTCTTACTACCCCGGCTATCACAGCAGTCACCAAGCTGCCAAGGCACAGCTGAACCAGGGCACCATAACCATGGAGAGCATTTGGGATGTCCTTGAGACAGGCAGTAACCTTGGTAACCTGAGGACATACTCCAAATGTGCTCATGCCCTTAAGGTCGCCCAGACTGTGCTTTCTAAAATAACATGCTTAGGATCTCTGCTTATGTCCTCTCCTGCCAGCTGCCTACAAATGCCCCAACCCCCATCAGATATTCTAAAGAGTCCTCGCCTCTGTTCTGAGTCCAGTTCTGGAAACTGAGCTCCACTGGGTCCACTAATGGAGAATAACTGTGCCTTCCCACTTCTCCAGATGTGCTGCTTGGATTTTTGCTGGCTTTTGGTGGAAATTTCCACAACACCTTGGTGTATGTCTCCAGTTCTTAGAAGATCATGTAGTAGGTGCTCAATCAACACTGACTGAGGCTCCAAACAGTTTCCTGAAGGGTGCAGGTTGCCAGTGGTACAGTTGAGACTGAAGCCCAGAAACTCCAGATAATGCTGGTTCCCACCCCCTTTGCCTCTGGCCAAGACAAGAGACACATGAGTTCTGGGTACTCACCTGGCTCCAGCTTCCCGCAAACCACTCCACCTTGCCTGCGCAGGGTCCGTTATCACAGGGGGTAGCCTCCGCGGGACGGTTGTTCCCACAGCCCTCCAGGGGCAGGCTGCTGACGTGGTTGGTCATGCACACCACTGAGCGGGTCCGCACGCCGGCCCCACACTCCGCTGAGCACTGGGGGATGGGAGAAGGCAGGTTAGAAGTGAGGCCCCGCAGGTTCAGAGCCCTTCCCAGATGATGCACAGGAAGTCCAGAGTCCACTTCCTACCTGAGAAATCCCTGGCCACTCCCCACTGCCTTTGTCATGGCAACACCCCATCTTTGATTTTTCGTGACAGTCTTCATCCCATCCTGCTGGTGTCAGGACCATGCTTAATGGTCGGCCCAGCTCTCCTGGCTTTGGCCTTTTTCTTTCTGTTTGTTTGGGGCCTCCCCAGGAGTGCTCAGGAGTCTTAGGGGTCACTCCCCATAATAGCTGGGCCTGTGGTGTGCCCTGATGGTTTCAGTATTGTTCGGGGACCAGTGATGCTGGGGACTGAACTCAGGGCTTTGCACTTGAAAGGCATGGACTCCCACCCTTTGAACAATCTCTCTCATCCCATATGCTGATCTCTGAAAAATAATTCTGGCGAAGAAGAATGAGAGCATGAAAACCCAGGCCCATGTGTCCTTGCGAGGAGCTGAGTCTGGGCAGTTCTGGGAGAGGAGGACCAAGTTGGTGACCTCCACAGGGGGGCAGAGATGTCAAGGCAGGTGGTTTACTCTCAGAAGGCTATAGTTATGAGGACTTTAGGGGCACCCTGGAATAGCAGGAGAGTGACCTGGAAACCTTCATGCCATGGTCACATCCATTCTAGGTGCATGGGCTCTGGGCAGATGGCCCAGCCCCAGACCCTTCCAGCACCCTCAGGTGTGTCGGCCAGATAGTGACACTGCAAACTATCTGGCTGACACAGCTCATGAATGATACACCCCCAGCTTTTAGGGATTGAGTCATATTTTTCTTTAGGATAGAGGAATGAAGGCCCCAAGGGGTAAGGGGTCCACTTACCACCCCATACCCATGAGTGACCTCTCCACCCACTCTGTCCCCATGGAGGGTACAGCCAACCCATTCCCAAGTCACAATGAAAGCTCACTGACCATCTTCCATCTGTTTTCAATAGTTGGAATGCTACTTATTTTGCTTCTCATACTATTTTTTTCAAGACAATGTTGAGTGTTCTGTGATACCTCTTATCCACCAGCTTGAAGCCCAGCATGTCCCCTTTGCCACCATTCTAATAGCTCCCCTTGGTGTTCCAGCTGGATCCCAAACTCTTAACTGCTCCTCTGCCTTCTTGGTTTGGGCACCCAGTCTGTCAACCATGCAGTTTTGTGAGATCCTAGTTTACCCAATTTCTATGGTCTGTCTTGTTGCTCTCTGAGAACTTGTTTATTTGTTTCTTGGGTCATACCTGGAGATGCTCAGGGATCACTCCTGGAAGTTCTGGGGGTACCCTATGGACTGCTGGGGATTGAACCTGCGTTGGCTGCGTGCAAGGCAAGTGCCCTCCCTGCTGTACTAAGTCTTGAGGCCATGCACCGGCCTGTGGTCTCAGCTTCTTGCCCAGCCTCTGCAGCAAGGCTTCCGGCAGCCTTGTCCAGGCTCTTCCTCCCCTCTGTGCTACCTTTTTGTTTTCACATGAAAATCCGGTAAGACTCCACTCAGACGCCCTCTCCTCTGTGAGAACATCCTGATGACACAATTCAATGCACCCTTTTCATTTCAGAATGTTCACAGGTCACACAAAACACCATCTGAGGATGTGTCCACTGGAGGACCAAAGCCACTTCTGTGGCCAGAGAAGAGCTGATGCCGAATGCACTGCTGTTTAGACTAAACACACATAGTTTAATGTGTTGCATGCACACATGAGATTCCTCAGCAATCCTCTGATAAGGGCTGTCACTCCAGAGACAGTGGGACTGAAACACGGGTCAGCACGGCCACGGCCCCAGAAGCACAAGGACTTAATGCAGAACCCGGCAGCTTGGAGCAGAAAAGTGAATGGACTATGCGTTAATCCAGGCCATCAGGTCTGTCCGGAGGGGAAAGGGTGTTGCCCCAGTCGCCTTCTCCTCTCTGGAAAGAAAGATGGCGGCCACATGGGAGCCTAACTCCCTAACTCCCTGAGGGTTAGAAGGCTTTATAATGATTTCTGAACTTCTACTTTAATTAACATATTCTCTCTCTCTCTCTCTCTGTCTGCCTGTCTGTCTCTCTCTTTCTCCCTCTCTCCTTCTTTCTTCCTCACACAGGCAAGGGAAGTGCTCTACTGATGAGCTATATCCCTGGCCTCATGCTCTATAAATTGAAATAATGTCTTATCTTATTTCTTCTGAAACAAACACCCTTAAGAACTAGTTGCTATCTAGGACTTTCTAAACTTTTTGTTTTCTTTCCGGTGGTGATTACGATGTTGATGCTGGTGCTGCCATTTAAGTTCGTCAAACCACATTTGAGTGCGAGCAAGCTGGTGTCAATGTGTTACACATCACACACATATTCAAACATGTCATCCTTGAGCAGAGCCCGCCCTGGAGCTGGTCCCCACACCTGACAGCACACCTGACTCCCTCCACTGAAAGCAGCTGTAAGGATGCGGGGGTGAGTCATCACTCAGGAGAAGGCTGCAGCATAGTCTGAAGGGCTGACGCAGAGTGAGCTTACAACCTCCACTCACATGGGAGAGGCGAATTTTAAACCCGCAGCAGGCTACACTCTGGGTCATTCACATCTAGATAAACTCCAGACACTGTTCCTAAAGTGGGTCCTTCTGGAACCATCCAGCAGCTTCAGAGTGGGGGACAAAGCACCTTCTGTTTATTTGCTTACAGAAGGTAGGCTTCCAGCCCACCTCCCACAGTTACCACGATGTTGACTCACCCATTGACCGTGCTCTACCCATTCCTGACATCTCCTCCGAGGAGATGTAAGCCATGCAGCTAAAATTCATGAAAGCACTGGTCCCTGTGGCTGGGGTGACCTCCGGTGGTGGGCAAGCTGAATATCCACCCAATGGAAGCCCCACAGCTGCCCCACACCCCACCACTGCTGCGACACCAGGGACTCAACTCCACTCATAAATACTCTCTGCATAGACACAAACGGTGAGTAATTTCAGGTACCCAGTGCCCAAGCTGAGAACTCCAGTGTTTTTCAGAGTTAGGATGGGAAGCCCCGGAAGCCCCTCCCCTCCCAAGCAGCCCCGCCCACCCCAGGAGCCCGCCCACCTTCCCACAGAAGGCCTGCCCACCTGTTCCAGCCCCACCCTGTCAATTCATTGGCCCAGACCATAGATTCTGAAGTCTCTGGACCACAGGACATCTCCTAACACCCCCATGTGAAAACTCTACACTAAATTAGATGGGAAAGTAACATTGAAGCCAGTTAAACTCAACAAACAAAAACAAAAGCACAGAAGGCTCAAATAGCAGCAGATGAGTAAATTCTTAGACAAGGACTCAACAACCCTGCGATCAGACACAACAATTTTCACATAAAAATTGATTTTAATGCTTATATACTGGAGTCTTGTTATCTAATAAATTTCAACTCGAGAACTGCATCAACAGTGTTGACTTTTGTCTACATCAAGATAAAAGATTTAAAAAATGAAGGTAGACTTCCAGAGGGATGCTGAGTATTCTTTTCTTTTTTTCCATGAAAAGGGCTCAGCAGGTCAAACCAGATTGGGTGCCTCTGCCCTAGACCTCAAGGCATTTGCAAACTTGAACCCCACTTTCTTGCCCTTCTCCCACTGAAGGCTCAGCCTCTCCCCTCATTCGTGTGTGGCATAGCATGGGATAGGAGCTCAAGGCATGTCTATGCCCAGTGAAAAATGGTCTCATTTGGACTAAAGATTTACAGAGCCGGTGTATGTGCAAAGCCACTATTCAAATGTGTAGCCTCAACGCCTGCTATTCCCTTGACCTGTTCCCTTGGCCTTTCATCTGGCCAGCAGTGGGTCTGAAGTCCAGCGTAGATGGAGAGAGTCTAAGGGGATTGTGACAGCCCAGACACCCTCTCACGGTGCCATCCTTGGTGAGATCACGATTTCAAATGTTTCCCCCCCTAATGTTTACTCATCAGTGAAACAGATGAGGAAACTGAGGGTCAGAAGGTCAGCATGGCCTCATGAGAAATAAGTCCTTAGGGAAGTAAAGGAAAAGTCAGCTCACCTTCCATTAACCCAATAGCCCCTCTGTCCTATTCATTGCCTCTGCAAGTGAGCAGTCAAGAATTATAGTCTATCCTGGAGGTGAATGAAACAAATTCTCTCACTGACATCAGAAAACCAGACTCCCGAGGTACAAACCCCTTTCCAAAGAAGAACAAGAAAGTTTCTCTAAATGGAAGATGAAAATGTCCATCCTTGGCTCTACTGATAACTTTAAGATAAGGATGAGCCACAGGAAGCACTTGCATGAGAATACAAAATAGAGGAAACTTGCTGTCATAACTGGAAGATAAATAGCCAGTGTAAAAAACTTTGAAAATTTCTATGCAGTTTTACTCTACAAAAGATGCAGAGGCATGGCCTGTGAAGTATCACTGCAGTGAAAGTGCTCCCAGTGGCTGATTGGATACTTGAAAATTGAAATAATCTTTCTGGTAAGAAATTTGGTCAAATGTATTCCACAGGGTTTATACAGCTGAATGAAAGAACTTTATCTTAAAACACTATTTTAAGAACACAAGGAAATTCGTTATAAAGATTTAGACATAGGGGTATTAACTCAAACGGTGTTTGTTCCTTTAGATCAAAAAGAAAATAAGCATTTTAAAATACTTTATTCTTTTAGGTTTGGGGTCACACCCGGTTTCTTCAGGGCTTAATCACGGCTTTGCACTCAGAGATACTCCTGGCGGGCTCAGGGGACCATATAGGTAGCTGGGAATTGAAGCTGGATTGGCCACGTACGAGAGAAGTACCTTACCTGCTGTACTATTGCTCTGGCTCCTAAACATTTTTTAAAAATAGAATTTTTTCACTGAAAAATTGAGATCCCAGCGTTGCCCTCTGTTCATGTGCTCACACCTTAAATGCATCAAATTCTCTGCTGAGTATAAGCGAGTTCTGGGATGGTTGCAAATCCAGAAATACTAAAGGGTTTATGGAAGAAACAGGCATTTGAGGCCAGAAATGGGGTGTGTGTGGTATAAGAGGTATATCATCTCATTCCTACTTTGGACAAACTGGCAGGCTACCAAATGTAACCTGCCCACACGGCAGAGTCTGGCAAACTCCCCGTGGCGTACCCAATATGCCAAATACCAGTAACAATGATGGGTCTCATTCTCCTAACCCTGAAAAAGCCTTGAATATGGCACTTTAAAAAAAAAATCTCAGGGCTAGGACGAAGAAGACGTTACTGGCACCTGCTCGAGGCAATCGATGAACAACAGGGTGGTCGTGATCGTGATCGTGGTATAAGAGGGACCTCTCAGATGTCCTACAGAACACGAGGGACTTAGCCAGAAACACTTGCCCCCCGCCCCCAACATACATATGGCAACCTGGCAGTTGTAATTCTGCCACAAATCCAGCACACAGGAATTACTACTAGCAGTGCTCAGAGGGACACGTGGGATGCCAGAGATCAAACCAGGGTGGGCCATGTTCAAGGCAAGCACCCTACCCGGTGTACAATCACTCCACTCCCCTTTTTCACTTCTCAGTGAACATAAAATTCTAGCCTAGAAGTCTACTCTTTAAAAAGAAAGAAAGAAAGAAAGAAAGAAAGAAAGAAAGAAAGAAAGAAAGAACCAGGATAAATGAAACTCAAGGAATCTTGTAGAAACTTCCAGTACAGAATCTGAAAACTGAAAATGGGGTTTAGGTCTACATATTCAGAAATCAAGTTAAGCTCTTTCTTTCTCATCTTTAAATCAAATTTCAAATTAGAGGAAAAAGGTTTCAATTTGAGTCCGCAGGGAACAATTGTGGTAAATGTACCAATTTAAATGTAATACTTTTTTAAAGTGTATAATTCAGGGGCCTTGAGTGTGCTCAAGTATGATTAAACTAAGCTGCCGTGCTCACACAGAGCTCTTCTCTCCTGCATATCAGCTCACTGTCATCCATCTTGTCTGCAGGTAACTGGGGGCATATAATGGAGCACAGAATCTTCGGTTTCATCTTTACTCCCTGACATGGGGAGGGTGGTCAGGGGAGCTTCTGAGTTATTGAAAAGGCCGGGAGGGGCTACAGCATCAGCCGGAACCCATGGATGGTGTGTGTGTGTGTGTGTGTGTGTGTGTGTGTGTGTGTGTGTGTGTGGCGTGGGCTCTTCACTACACGCCCTTTTCCTGTGGAATATGTATGAGGGATACTGAGGATTGACACACTCCTTCTTACCCACACTCCGCTCTTGGAGGCCCTGGTCTTCAGATAAAAACAGAAAACCTGCCAACCTTGCCCTGCTCCCCCCCCCCCGCCCCCCCCCCCCCCAGAGCCCATTGATGTGAGTCACGGCAATGTAGTGCCTGGTTCTTAACACTCACCTGTCACCAATGGCTCGGCTGCACACATGTGCCCGGGGTGGTTCCCAGACCCCCTGAGCAATGTTTGGGAGACCCCCACCCTTAGAAAGAAAGCCTGAGGACTGAGAATGTGGCTCAAGCCCACGAGAGACCCCGAGTCTGATCCCAAGTGCTGCCTTCAGCTCTGCTGGGTCTGGCTCCACAGTGAAAATAGAAGCTGATGGTCTGCGCCGGGTCCTCGTGGTGCCTTTCCTGGTGGTCGGGGCTGCCCTCGGGTCAATGCCCAGCTTCTGCCTCATCCTCTGTATTCAGGCACCCATGATGGCCGCTCCCGCGCATGGAACCCGCCCGCAGCCCTTGCGCCCGGCACTGACAACCTTACTCTGCCTGCCACCCCCAGAATGTTTGCCATGGCCACGATCAACCCCATCTGCCCACTGGCCGCTGCTGACCCCATCCTGCCCACTACAGCCGCTGCTGACCCCACATTGCCCGCCACAGCCGTTGTTCACCCCACTCCGCTCACTGGCACTGCCAATCCTCTGCTGCTCTCCATGGCAACTGCCAACCTCACCGTCCACGGCTGCTGCTGACCCCTCGCTGCCTCCCACAGTTGATGCCATCCCCACTCTGCACAGGCCACGCTCACCCTCTCGCTCCACTCCGTGAGGAACCAGCTCTTGGCACAGGGCCCCATGTCGCAGTTCTCAATGTCGCTGGGCCGCAGCTTCATGTTGCACTCCTCATCGTCCACCACGTCCCCAAGGTTGCTCACACACTTCACGTCCCGGGTCCGCTGTCCCACTCCGCAGGGCACCGAGCACTGGAACAGGGGAGCAGCAGTGTTGGGATGGGGTGTGAGTGGGGCTCTCCAGGGCTGCACCCTTGTCCTTGCTACCTGCTCCCGGCACACAGGCTGCCCAGGAGACCCCTCGTGTGGCTGGGACCCCTAGCAATGCAACTCTATCTAGCTTTACCACCCACACCACCAAGGCTGTCTGGCCTGGTTGTCACCTTGGGCCTCAAGTCTTTCATCTGTGATATGAGGAGGGATGGTGTGGGGGGTCCGGTCTGCCGTGACGCAGGAGGAAGGGGATGCCAACATGCACAGCTCCCAGGGGATCCCCTGAAAGTCATCTAGCCCAAGGTCCAGCGGGCTGCCAGTGTACCCGATGGTTTGCACAAACAGCCTGGCATGGCTGGGCTTCTCTGGGGAGCTCACAGGTCTCCTGGGGCAGGGAGTAGGGCAGGTGGGCGGGGAGGGGAGCTGCCCACTGCTTACCGAGGTCCAGTCGGTGCGGATCTGCCACTCGCTGCAGATCTTCAGCTGGCAGGTGCTGGTGGTCTCGGGCTTCTCCAGGTGCTGGCAGCGGTAGGGCTGTACTGTCAGGCTGCGGTTGGCATACACCTGGCGGCACAGCACCTGGCGATGCTGCATGCCCAGGCCGCAGGTCTTACTGCACTCAGACCACTCACCAATGTCCCAGCTAGGCAGGGGAGAGAGGAGAGAAACGGAGAGCTGCCGACCACGGAAGAGAGCAGGGGCCCTGCTCCCTGCCCCCTGCCTCCCTTCTGGGCTTGCTCAAAGCCCTCTGACTTAGAGGCAGGAACTGCGCCTGAGAACTCCACACAGGCGAGCAAACTTAACAGATAGAGACATTTTCCTCACGGAGAAAAGGCCTTCCTGCAGCTGTCACCTGCAGCATGGGTTAATGAACTGCAGACTCCAATTCATTTTGGAACTCACCTGGAACTCTGATTCCAGAGCTCTTTATTATTATTTTGGTTTGGGCCACACCCAGCTGTGTTCCAGGCTTCCTTTTGGCTCTGGCCTAGGGGATCAATCTGGTGGGGCTTGGGAGACCACATGGGTGCCGGGGCTAGAACCCAGGTTGATGGCATGCAAGGTAAGCACCCTGCCCACTGCCACTGTGGCCCTTATTCTTATTTTTTGGGTCACACCCGGTGTTGCGCAGGGGTTACTCCTGGCTCATGCACTCAGGAATTACTCCTGGCGGTGCTCGGGGGACCATATGGGATGCTGGGAATCAAACCTGGGTCGGCCTCGTGCAAGACAAACACCCTACCAACTGTGCTATCACTCCAGCTCCCCCTATTCTTATTTAAAAAAAAAAACTTTTAATATGCTGCTCTCAGCATTATCTGACATTCTCTTTGTAACCCATTAAATAAGCTTTCGGCACAAGCTCATTAGATGTTTTAGATAGAAGTTCTTTTTGTTACTTCAACAAGTATGTTTGGACCCTTCGGAGGGCCCTTTCCCTCGTCATCATCCAGTATCTCTGGAGCTGTTTCCTGATTTCTCCTGGCAGAAGCATTTCCCTCATCCTCTCTTTTGCCACAGCTCACCAGCAGCGCTGAGCCCTCTGCTAGTCATTCCTGGCTTCCCTAATGGCTCCAGGCCAGTGTGGCTCAGTCTTCTTCTGATCCTGGCTACTTCCTATGTCTCTCCCACCCCCGTCCCATCTACAGGTTGACCTTCTCATGTCATGCATGGCTCCGTTTTTGTTTGGGGGTTTTCAGAGCTTATCCCTGGCTCTGTGCTCAGAGACCACTCTTGGCAGGCATGGGGGACCTTATGAGATGGCAGGAATCAGACTTGGGTTGGCCATGTGCAAAGCCAAGCCTTACCCGTTGCAGGATATCTCCATTTACCCTTGTAGTATCCTGGGCTCCACAGGGGCCATATGGCCCCGGGTTAGAAAATGCTGCTCTTGGCTACCAAGTGGGCTTCCCCGGGGGAAGGGGTTGCCAGATGCAGCATGCTGACTACCGGAGACCATGGGCTACCTGTTCTAGCCCCGAAAGATGGGTGCTTGCCAGGCTGACTGCCCTGCATACCCCCACTGAGTCTCATGGCTCCAGGGTTCAGACCTAAGCATCAGATCATATTCTTAGGGTGTGGTGTGGGGAGCAAGAGGAAGGTGGGCAGGGGCGTCTTACAAGGCCGGACAGGGGAAGATGTTGCAGGGCTCCTCCTCGGGGGTGGGCTTCATGCTGGCGTCACAGGCGCTCTCGGGAACCTCCTCCTGAGTGGTCCTGTGCACGCAGCGGAAGATGGGGTACTGCGACCCTGCAAGTACAAGGAGCACGTGTGCTGGGAAGCCCTCAGGCCCCATGCCATGAGATGTTTGCATCTTTGACAGTCACTGCAGTGCTGGTGACCAGATCCAAGGCCTGAAACGACCCAAGGGCTAGAGAATCCGCCGGCTAGAGTTGCAATAGCACGGGCTCCGCTGTAGACCAGGGGAAGCGCTTTGTTAGGACATGGATGGGACAGAAAGGGGGCTGTGTTAAGTGAAATACACCCTTCTTGGGAGAAGGCAGCTGGAATAGAGAAAAGATCATTAAGAAAAAGATGGCTGGAGGAATCGGTCAGGGTGGGAGATGTGTGCAGAAAGTAGATAAAGGAACAAACATGATAACCTCTCAGGGTCTGTACTGCAAACCATAATGCCCCAAAGTAGAGAGAAATTATGGGGCATCATATCTGCCATGGAGGCAGAGGGACGGTGGGAAAGGGGGGGTATACCGGGGATACTGGTGGTCGGGAATGTGCACTGGTGGAGGGATGGGTGTTTGATCATTGTGTGATTGTAACCCAAACATGAAAGATTGTATCTCACGGTGATACAATAAAATTAAAAAAAAGGAAAAAAAAAAGAAATAGACCCTTCTCTCTCCTAGCTGCCTTCTCCCCTACCACTTGTGGCAAGCTTCCAACCAGGGACCCATCCACGTGGCCCTTATTTCGACTGTCCTTCAGTATTAGCCTCATATTATCATTATTATTATTATTTATTATTATCATTCATTATTTTATATTCCTCACCACTATGACAATGATAGTTGAAAATGATCTCTGGATCAAATATTGAATGCTGAAAGAGGGTGAAGAGATATGATAACCTCTCAGTACCTGTATTGCAACCATAATGCCCAAAAGAAAAGAGAGTGAGAGAGTGAGGGAGAGAGAAAGAGAGAGAGTGAGGGAGAGATAAAGAGAGAGAGAGTGAGGGAGAGAGAAAGAGAGAGAGAGGTGTCTGCTATAGAGGCAGGGTGGGGTGGGGAGTGGCGGGAGACAAATTGGGGACATTCATCATTGGTGGTGGGAAATGTACACAGGTGGATGGATGGGTACTGGGACATTGTATGACTGAAACCTGATCATCAACAGATTTGCAACCGTGTATCTCATGACAATTCAATTTTTTTTAAAAAAAAGCAAAATAAGACCAAAAGAGAAAGTCAATATTAAGTGATCTCACTCATAGGTGGCATATGAAGAAAACAAGCAAGGGAATAGATAACAGCCAAAGAAAATACATCCTTAGACTGTGGCAATGGAACTAAGGTGACCCATTGTGGCAACTCAGAGGACCAGTGGTAGTGAGGGTAGGGAGGGAGCGGGCAGCCAGGAGGAGCCTATGGACAGTGGTGGAGGGATGGTGCCACTTTGGCACGTGTCTAGGAGGGAGGGGCCGACAGTTGCTGCTGAACAAGGTGTCCTGCAGGTGCCGGTTGTGAATAAGGGCAGACAGGTTGGAGCAGCCAAGTGAGAAGATTCCAGAAAGGTCAGAAGACCACTGGCTTCCTCCTCCATGAAAGCATCTGACCCACTTCCTGGCAGAGCCCTGAGGATGAATATCAGCTTCCTAGGAGGCACCTACAAGGGTGATTAGAGGTCACCCCAAAAGCCTCTATACCTCTCGGAAAGACTGGCAAGCTACCGAGAGTATTCCGCCCGCACGGAAGAGCCTGGCAAGCTATCCGCTGTGTATTCGATATGCCAAAACCAGTAACTACAACTGGTCTCATTCACCTGACCCTGAAGGCTTCACCGACATGGCAGCACTGAGAAGGATGAGAAAGGAGAGGCCGACAAAATCTCAAGGCCGACCTAGGCTGCCACAACGAAGGAAGACAAAAATGATCGTCTGTACTTTCAATGCACGTACGCTAGCATCAGATGCATCCATCGAGGACCTGATGGTACAAGCGCGAATGATCAAGTACGACATCATTGGTCTGACCGAGACAAGAAGACACGAATCATTGGTCTGACCGAGACAAGAAGACACGAATCTCACCATGCCGTTTTCGACACTGGAGAAGAATTGTTCCTCGGAACATGCGATAAAAGAGGTGTTGGAGGCGTCGGTGTCCTTGTCAACACAAACTTGGCCAAGAGCATCGATTCATTTGAATGCCTAACAACCCGAATCGGACGTTTACATTTGAATAGATGTGGCTCACTGCCTGCAGTTTCTATCTTCGTTGTCTACGCACCAACATCTCATTATGATGAAAGAGAAATCGAGAAGTTCTACATGGAGCTAGGGAAGTTCTATAAAGAAGACCACACCTTCTACAAGATCATTGTGGGTGATTTTAATGCCAAGAGAGGACCGAGAAGATCAGCTGAAGAACTTCACATCGGAACCCATGGCCTAGAATGGAACGAACAGGGTGAGAGACTGTCTGAGTTCATCATGTCGACCAAGACCATTCATGGTAACTCACAGTTCCAGAAGGCAGAATCTAAACGATGGACATGGGAGTCTCCCGGTGGACGATTCCACAACGAAATAGACCACATCATATTCAATCGACGGTTTTGCCTGACTGATGTCGCTGTTGTCCCAAAATTTCGAACGGGATCGGACCACCGTCTCCTTCGTGCAAAATTCTACTTCACAGAGCGGGGAGAAAGGGCTGCAAAGTTCAAAAAGAGAACTCCCAGAACGACCACCAACTGGGAACTCTTTGGTACTATTGCGGCAACATGGGAAGATACCATTGTTGACAACATTGACGAGGAATACGATCGACTGGTTCAGCACCTCCATGAATGTGCGAGGAACGCCAAGAGAGAGATAGCCACAAAAAGTCGCCTATCTTCGAAAACTCTTGAGCTAATTCGCCAGCGTGGTTTGGCGCATGCCTCAGGCAACCGCAAGCTAACGTCCGAGCTTGCAAAGCAGTGCAGAGATGCGATCAAGGAAGACCTCAAAGAGAGAAGAGCAGAAGTACTGGTAGATGCGGCAGAAGCCGGGAAAAGTATTCGTAACGCCCGCCTGTCCTTCGCCAACTATAAGACCAAGATGACTGCCCTCCGACGTCCTGATGGATCCATCACATCCTCCAGAATGGCAATGGAGAAGATTATCCATGACTTCTACTCAAATCTCTTCGATAGCCATGTCCACTTGCCGACATACCAAATTCCACAGGATGGGTATGTCGTTCCCAACGTTCTCCCTTCCGAAATCCGACACGCCATTTCGTCAGTAAAGAAGCAAACAGCACCCGGCCCAGACAAGGTCAGACCTGAACACCTGAAGAACCTGCCGTCAGTACTCATCAATACACTGGCTCGGCTCTTCACTCGCTACCTGTCTGAATGCAAGGTTCCATCTCAATGGAAAACCAGCAGGACCGTACTACTGTTCAAGAAGGGAGACATCCATGACATTGGCAACTATCGCCCGATCTGCCTATTGTCTGTCATCTACAAGTTGTTCACTCGAGTCATCCTGAATAGGATTGGCAGAACACTAGATGAAGGACAACCATGCGAGCAAGCAGGGTTCCGCAAAGGATTCAGCACCATCGACCATATCCACACAATAACCAAGCTCATTGAGGTTTCTCGGGAGTTCAAGATGCCGCTCTGCTTAACGTTCATTGATTTAAAGAAGGCCTTTGATTCTGTCGAGACGGAAGCGGTCATTGAAGCCCTAGCCAATCAGGGCATTCAAGCCCAATACATCAGGATCCTCCGTGAGCTGTATTGCGGATTCACTACCAGGATCTCACCATTCTACAAAGAAGTGATCGTTGATGTCAAGAGAGGGGTGCGGCAGGGTGATACCATTTCACCAAAACTCTTCAGTGCCACCCTCGAGAACATCATGCGACGACTGGAATGGGAAGGAATGGGAGTGAAGATAGATGGTCGGCAACTACACCACCTCCGCTTTGCTGATGACATTGTTTTAATAACACCAAACATCAGCCAAGCGGCACAAATGCTGGCCGACTTTGACCGTGAGTGTGGAAAGGTAGGACTACAGCTGAATCTTACGAAGACAATGTTTATGAGAAACAGCCTTGTTCCTGACGCCCCATTCGCTCTCAATGGAACGACCATCTCCGAATGCAACAGCTATGTGTACCTAGGTCGAGAGGTCAACATGACAAATGACCTGGCACCCGAGCTGCGCAGGAGGAAGAGAGCGGCTTGGAACGCCTTCAAGAACGTCGAAGAAATAGCTAAGAGGACGAAGAACCTCCGGCTCCGGGCACATCTCTTTGATTCCACTGTTCTTCCTGCATTAACATATGCCTCAGAGACCTGGGCCCTACGCAAACAAGATGAGAACGCCATTCAGGTCTCCCAAAGAAGAATAGAAAGAGCTATGCTTGGAATATCACGTTTCACTCAAATGAGAGAACGAATCCGGAGTTCTGACATCTGTCGACGATCAAGGATCAGGGACGCTGTCTCATATGCCAAGGTGTCGAAAATCAGATGGGCTGGTCACGTAATGAGATTTAAAGACGACCGTTGGACTAGAGCTGTTACTGATTGGATTCCACGGGATGTCAAGAGACCGCGTGGCCGCCCACCTACCAGATGGTCAGACTTCTTTGTCAAGGTCATGAACGATCGGTTTGAGGCCCTCCATGTTCCCGGAGCGAAGAGATGCCATTGGGCTACACTAGCACGCGACAGGGACAAATGGAGACGTTACTGGCGCCCGCTCGAGCAAATCGACGACTAACGGGAAGTTAAGTGATTAAGTGATTAAGGAGGCAGTGAGCTTCTCCGAGGCCCAGGCCTGGTGCTCCCTGGAACCCATCTTGGGGGAAGGAGGTGTCGACTCCTATTTTCAGGGTCTAATAATATTTTTTCATAACCAATTTGCTAAACAACAACAAAACAGTCACAGGAACTGCCCAGGGCTCTGAATTTCTTATTTTAATCAAATAGCCTGGTTCCTTTTTCCCTTCTCCTTCCTCCTTCTCCACCTCCTCCTCCTTCCTTTGTAAATGGTTCTCAGAAAGCCTATCTCCTCTCTCTGCCACCGAACACTTCCATCCAAACTTTTACTACTGTGGCTGCCTTCACAGATATGCAAAGGGTCTTGCTCTCCTCACTGTCATGTTTGGATCCTCACTGTTCTTTCTACACGCTGGCTCTTTGAATAGTTGAAAATGATGAGTGTGTCTTGGTACATGTTCTGTTTGTTATTGGAGGCTCAGACAAGCCAGGTTTCGAGCTGCTCTTGAAGAGATGTGCTTTATGCCCTCCGTGCATGCTGCTGGCTCTTAGCTCCTCTACTGTATCCTGGGTGCCCTTCAAACATGGCGCCCAACTGGTGCTGTGGCTCAACGGTAGAGCACAGGCCTTTCGCCCGTGAGGCTCTGGGTGTGATTCCTGGCACTGCAATAACCACAGTGGGTGACCACAAAAAGTTTACAGACCAGAGCACAGAGGGTGATGGTGAATTCCTAGACCTTTCAGGGTTCTGTCCTGAGGGGGGAGGAGATGGTTGTGATGAGTGATTTCCACAACCAAATCTACTGTCACTTACCCCTGTGTGACTCACTCAATCCCTTTTGGGGTTCTATTTTCTTATTTGTAGACCTTTTGGTACCCTTTGTGTTTCTGACCTTTAGAAACTCACTGCCCCTCGTTCATTGGATCTCATCCTTTTCTGCTACTCTGTGCTCTGTGAGGGGGGCAGCAGCCAGGTCTATTCTTGTCAGCCCTGAATCCCCAGAGCCTAGCTTCCTATCTAAGGGGTAAATAAAGAATCGACACATCTTTATTGTCAGGGTCATCAGGTCACTCCCAGACATTCTCACCCAGTTCAGGGTTAAGGGCTGAATTCCGGAAGGTCCTGCAGTGTTTGGGGTGAGCAGAGCAAGCACCCTAGCCCTGGGACTGTCTTCCTGTCCCCACATAAAGCCTAGTTTCATTGACTAAACAAGGATGAATCTATTCTGAAGTAAAGTCAGAATTTGTTAACAGGAAATTTTAAATTCTCAAAAAAACAAAAAACAAAACAAAACCTGTTGATGCCTGTCTTCTCTCTGCTGCCTCCTAGTGGCAGCATTGCAGTATTACTAAGGAGCACGTGACGCTGAGCACCTTTTGAAGGAAGGAGGAGGAGGAGGTGGAGAAGAAAGGAGAAAGGAAAAAAAGAAACTAGGGTTCAATTTCTTGCATTGCCTTTGTTCCCCTGATCTCTTCCAGGGATTGCTTTTGAGCACAGAGTCAGGAACAGCCTCTGAGCACCACTGGGTGTGGTCCCCAAACCTAGCCTCCCACCCCCCAATAAAAATTGCAACCTAACTATTGGAAGCAAGCTGCTCCTCTATGAGTAACCACCTACAACAACCCCCCGCCATTCCCTAACACACACACACACACACACACACACACACACACACACACACACTCTCTCTCTCTCCTCACCCAGTCTTGGCCATGCACATCCTGCCCTGAAGAAAAGTTGTTCATTCTACGATGCTTAGCTTTGTGGCTGACTGGCTGGACATTTACACTCTCCCGGGCCTCCAACACGTTAGAATTTTCACCGTAACGGAGAACAGTTTCTGATGTAATTGTGTCAATATCGGATGAGCTACCCAGGGTTTCCAGGCTTCGGCTGCTCTTGTGACAGGAGAGTCAGCCCCCAGCGCTGCTGAGTGTGACCCCCAAATCTTCCCACAATAAAAAAATACCTACGACATAACGCTGGTCTTGGAAGACCAGGGAACCACTGAGTTGAGTTTCCCCAGCTAGACGGCGGGGTGAGTGTGGGGGTCACTCTTAGGGTCCTGCTGGGGGCTCAGCAGGACATCCCAAATCAGACATCCCAAATCAGAAGGCATCCCGGGGACTGCCTGGACATGGATACCCAAGCACGTCTGGTTGACTTTGCCAGGAAGGATGAGAGATGGCTCGGAGGGGAGGAGGGGATGGGCTGTGAGGTCGCAGGGGCTTGGGCCTCGGCTGTGCCCCTGCAGGACAGCACTGGGGGGTGGGGGTTCCTCGGTCGCAGCACACTGGCGCCCACTGTGGACGGCCCCGAGTTGATCTTTGGCAGTGGTGTTGCCTCATCTGCCCCTGGTGTCCGGGCTGGCTGCGGGGCGCCAGCCGGGCCGAGCAGAGGAGCAGCCTCGAATGTGGACACGGCATAAGGAGAGAAAAAGGGGCGAAGATGGCCTCAGAATGGGGGGACAGGGGACAGCAGAGCTTGGGTTTGTTTTCCATATTCCTCAGTCTCCCTTTAGCCCAGAACCAGCACTGTTTATTTTATTTTAAAAAATCAATACTAAAATTATATTATTATTATTATTTGGTTTTTGAGCAACAACTGACAGTGCTCAGGGCTCACTCCTGGTTCTGTGCTCGAGAATCACTCCTGGCGGGGCTCAAGGGACCTTAAGGGATGCTGGGGACTGAACCCATGTTGGCTACATGCAAGGCAAGCACCACACCTGCTGTGCTATCCTTTCGGCCCCTAATTTATATACATATATATATATTTTTTTTTAGCAAGATAGTTTTTATTGAAAGAAATAGACTTAGATGTGAAGGGTGTGTGTGGGCGGGGTTGAGAAAGAAATAAATACATGTTCGAGAGAAAATACTAACTTGAAAGAGCTTGAAAATAAGTAAAGAGACATAGAGACAAGCAAGCAGATGCAATGGACATCTAGCGACATCTAGCTTCCCAACAGTAGGTGTAAGGGTGGCGTGTGTGTGTGTGTGTGTGTGTGTGTGTGTGTGTGTGTATGTATGGGGTGGGGTGTGTGTGCAGGCGGTATGTGTGTATGTGTGTGTGTATGGGCAGGGTGTGTGTGTGTGTGCGAGGGTAGAGTGTGCATGTGTGTGCGTGTGCAGATGTGTGTGTGTGTGTGTTTGGGGTGTGTGTGTATGGGGTGGAGTGTGGGTGGGTGAGGTGTGTGTGTACAGAAAGGAGTGTTTGTGTGAGGACGGGATATGTGTGTGTAGGGCGGGGTGTGTGTGCGCGGGGTATATGTGTGTGGGGTAGGTGTGTGTGTAGGTGTGTGTGTCTGTGGGTGTGTGTGTATGTGAGTGAGTGTGTGTGTTCCTGTGTGCACACGTACAGGTGGACACACTCTGGTTGTTAAAATTGATGCCGACGGTGCTAACCCATTCTAGTAAGAAAGTCAGGGTGTGTGTGTGTGTGTGTGTGTGTGTGTGTGTGTGTGTGTGTGTGTGAGACACTCCTTAGGAGACAGGTTGTCTTATGGCATTAAGGAACATGATAGGGAAACCTACGTAACGGCTCTGCGGCTTTGCCTGTAGGGGGGCAGCCTGGGAGAGGGCGCCTTGCAGTGCCTGAGGTGGACACCTGCTCTCCCCGCCGCGTCTGCACGCGCCTCTGCCCGCTGGAGACCCCACCCCACACCTTTGCAGGGAGGCACACTGTAGCCTGAGCAGGACAGCTGTCCGGAGCCCCGAGGGGTCCCCGGCACTGCATGCACGCGGGCGTGGGAGAGGTCTGTCCTGCACCCAGACCCACCTTTCCCGCAGCTCGCGGAGCACTCTGTCGTCCCCAGCTGCTTCCAGTTGTGGTCCCGGCTCCGCCGCGGGGGCTGCGGGGCGGGGGGCACCGCGTTGTCGGGGGGATGCGGGGGGAACCGGTCGGGGAGCCTGACCGGGAAGGTCTGCGCGGTGTCAGAGGTGAGCACATCCCGGGCCCCTCCGCGCGCGCCTTCCCGCTCCTGGCTTCTCTCCTCCTCTTCCTCCTCTTCCTCCTCCTCCTCCTCCTCTCCGGCTGGGCCTCTCCCCTCGGGCAGCAGCTGGTCACTGAAGGGCTCCCCTGGGAGAAGCAAAAGCACATAACAGGAGCCCGGTTGGACGCTGAGCTCTACAGAGGAAACTACACTGAGAATTTGACACTGTCTCTCCAAATTCAATGGAATCATTTATGTTTGTCTGCCGGGGTTTTGATGAACACAGCCAGGGGTGTCAAGGGAGCCTGTGATCAGGAGTGACCCCTGGTGGTGCCGGGGGGCCATATACGATGAAGGAGGGTCTTGAACGAGGGTCTGCCACATACAAGGCAAGCACCTTACCTTGTGATTATCTCTCCACCTCATATCCAAATTTTAAACGCACA